GGAAGGAAAGACTTGTTCCTTGTTTTTATTCCTCAGTGGATAAAGTATTGGCCCTGGAGTCAGGAAGACCTGAGTTCAAATCCAGCCCCAGACATTTACTAGCTGTGTGACCCTGGACAAGTCCCTTCACCTCTATTTGTCTCAGTTCCTCATCTGTAAAATGGGCATAATACAGGCACATAACACTCACTAGCTGTGTTACCCTGGGCAAGTCACTTAACCCCATTGCCTCATCAAAAAAAAAAATGGGCATAATAATAATAGCCCCCTACTTCCCAGGTTGTGAGGATCAAATGAGATAATTGTAAAGTGCTTAGCACAATACCTGCCATATAATAAGAGCTATGTAAAGGTTAGTTATTATTATTGTTGTTATTGTTATTATCATTATTATCCAGCCTCAGACACTTACTAACTTTGTGACCCTGGGCAAGTAATTTAATCTCTGCCTGCTTCAATTTCCTCAACAATAAAATGAGAATAATAATATTACTTACCTCCCAGGATAGTTATGAGGATCAAAAGAGAAATAATTGTAAAGCACTTAGTCCAGTGCCTGGTACACCATGCTATATAAATATTAGCTATTATTATTGTTGTTGTTGTTGTTGCTGTTATCCAGACTCATACACTTACTGACTGTGTGACCCTGGACAAGTCACTTAACCGCTGCCGGCCTCAATTTCCTCACCTATAAAATGGATATAATAATAGTACCTACCTTCCAGGGGTGCTGTGAAGATAAAAGAAGAACATATTTGTAAAGCACTTGGCATAGTGCCTAGCAGTAGGTGCCTAAAGAATGCTTATTTCCTTCCGTCCTACCCTCTATCACCCTTGCATCTTAATTTCTTTCTGTAACCCAATGTCCTATGGCTCCTTCACCTTTGTAGGGCCTATTCCCCATGGATTGTGATCCTATCCTTCCTCATATCTTTCTAGACTGTTCCCTTCCTCCCCCATTCCTCAGATTCACAGTCAAAAGCACCCAATTCCTGTAGTACTCTCTCATTCACTCTCTTTCTCTCTCTCTCTGTCTCTCTGTCTCTCTCTCCCCCCTTTCTCTTTCTCTGTCTCTCTGTCTCTTTATCTCTCTCTCTGTCTCATTCTCTTTTCACTGATTCATTGTGAGAATCTCTCCTCTTCTCAAGGTATACCTTGAGTCATTTGACTCTTCTGATCAAAACCCTGCAAAATCTATTATCTGTGCAGTAAAATTTAAGCTTCTTTCCCTGTCATTCAAGGCCCCTCAATATCTGGTATCATCTCACCTCTCCCAACTTTTTCTCATACTATTCCCATTCACCTAATCTACAATTATGGCCAAATTGCACCCTTTGCCATCTCACATACAAATACACATACATACATGTATGCCTATATGTGTATATATATGCATACCTACATTTCCCACCTGTGTGCTTCTGCTCACACTATTGCCTACCTGAATGCCCTCAACCCTGCTCTCCACTTGTTTAAAGTGTCCTCAACCTTTATATCCCTGCTAGGCATTAGATAGTATAGTGAATCGATTACTGGTCTTGGAAGACCTGATTTCAAATTAGCCTCAGATGATTACTAGCTGTGTGATCCTGGGCAAGTCATTTAATCTCTATGTACTTCAGTTTCCTCACCTATAAAATGGGAATAATAATAGCACTTACCTCCCAGGGTTGTTGTGAGGAAAAAAAATATATTTGTAAAGCACTTTGCAAACCTTAAAGTGCTAGCTTATCATCATTATAACCACCATCATCATTATTAAAATGGTCTTTCTTCTAAGAAGTCTTTCTAATTGCTGCTTGGTAATTGATTATTCTAACCACTTCACATAGCACTTTTGACTTCCCTGATTTACATATCATGCATTATTTTGTAGAATATTTATCTCTTGTTATGTGCCAAAATTCTCATTAGACCATAAGCTAAAATAATATGGGGATCTGTCCTGTCTAAACTTTTTTTATATTCCTCAGTGTCTAGTTTTTAGCACAGTTGGTTCTAAAAAGATGTTTATTGTGAATTCCTTCCTCTCTGAAGCTTTTCATTTGACCTTTCTCATACCTTCCCGGGACAGAGTGGATGAATATAAGATAAGGTAAGGCAAGGCAAAGGCTGAAACATGTCTGAGGATTCTCTTAGCCAAGGATGTTACTGTGGGCCCTTTAAATCCATTGAGAATTGGGGAGGGGGCCCTAGTGGGGAGTTCACTGCCCTAGAAGGAGCTCAGTAGCAGCTGGAGGGGGAGGAGCCAGGTCTCTGGCACTGAATTCCCCAGATTAACTGGAACACTTTGAGGTGGGGTGGGGGTTAGGGAAAATGCCCTGGGTTGGGCATGATAGCTAGGGAATCTAGCCCCCCTCCAAGGGGAGTCAAAAATAACTAGTGAGGGTCAAAGGGACCTCCAGGAATGGATTTGGTGAAGGGAGGAGGAGAATGGTGGTGGTAAAGGAAGCTATCACTCATCAGGGGAAGGCGTTTGGCTCAAAGCCACTCTCCTAAATGTCAGAGGGAACAGGGCTGGGTTGAAAAGAGAGGAACAGAGAACCTAGACTGGGTTACTTGCAGAGGGCTTTCAGAGGTCCAAGAGGTATAAAAAAAGATTCCTCTACCACCATCTCACCTTTGCCCAAATCACTTGACTTTCCCGGCTCATTCTCAAAGAGTGAGGATGTTGGAAATATAGACCAAACTGTCAGTAACCAGAGCCTGCAAGAAGGTAGTGGGGAGGTGGAGAGTAGAAAGGAGGACCTCTTAATGCCTTCTCATCTTTTACTTTGGTCCCTTTCAGACAAGGGGCCATCTCCAGTTGTCCTAATCTATATCCAGCCACTGGACCCAGATGGAAAGGGAGGCTGGTGACTTTGCACAGCCCTTCCTCACTTAAATCCATTTCATTGAATGTCATGGCATCACCTCCCTGATGTCATGATCCTCTTCAAAAACAAAGGACAAACAACAACTCTTTCAGATCACCCCTTGTAAGAGTAGGAAGGACTCTATACATATCGGAGGTAGGAAAACTGAAGCCAAGATTGATTAAACAGTTAGTCTGAGGTCCAGATCTATGTCAAAGGTTAAATTGTAGACATGAACCCAGATTTTCTCACTTCCAAACCATGGCTACCTCCACATATCCAAAACCTAGGAAGCTATGATAAAAAGAAAAAAGATTCCCCAAAAGTGAAAAGTCAGATATGGTAAAAATGAATCCAGTCATTTTAGGAGCCAAGTCTAAGAGGATTGTCTGAGGCTCACTCAGAGAGCTTGTGACTTGTCCAGGGTCAGACAGCTAGTAAGTATCCAAGACTGGGTTTGAATCCAAATCTGGCCAACTGTCCACTATGCTTCTCTGTGAATTGAAATGAATCTCAAATATAAGCAACACCCTAGCACACAGACGTAGATGTGATGTAGATATCTTTTTTGCTTCCTTCCTATTCCACTTTTTCCAAAAACAAAAACATATTTTTAAAAAAAAGCACCTTAAAGAGCTACAGAAATGCTATACTGTTATATTATCATTAGTATTATATTATTGCTATTATTATTATTATAAGTAATAATAACAAAAGGCTTAAAGATTTCATACCAGACAAATATGGGGTAGGGAGTGTTGCAGGGCCCAAGCATGGGATCTGCTCCACGATTCTCTAGAAATGTCCTGTTCAAGGCAAATTCAAATTCATTATACAGGGTGTCCCAAAAGCCTTGGTGTAGTGTTAAGCTTTAATTGCTTAATAGCTATTAGACTTTAATAGCTTACAATTGCACTAAGATTTATGAGACTCCTTGTATATAAATATTTTATATCTCTTTGACCATGATAAAGACATACTTGGTTATATATTTTGTTTTCTCACTGTTTTCTATCTCTTTGCTCATCCCTGGTCTAAAATCACCACCACCCACCAATCAATTAATCAATTAAACTATGTTCACTAATAATTCTGGCACTGTTAGCACCTCTACAGGGTGTATGTGCATCCTACCCCCAGTTCATTCCCCAAAACACCCTTGAGACACACAAGATTGTGTTCCTATTTGTCTCCAAATGTATTTATATCTGCACAAGAATGTTTGAAGATACCTCTGGCCAAGTAATCCTTACCCCTCTTACCTCACTGGCTTGAGACCACCCTAAAATGTCCCTGACCAGATTCACACCCTGCCCTCTTTAGGCCAGCTTGGGATTCCTTTGCCAGACCCTGAGCATTGGAGCCATATTTGAAAATATCCCACTTTGAAGATTTTTCTCAGGTTTTAGAAGTAAGGAGACTTGGTACTATGGGGAAATGAAATTGCTATGTGACTTTCAATTAAATAAACATAGATAAATTAGCATCTGTTAATTTTGAATCAATAGCTCTGGCACTGACTTTTTCCCATTCTGAAGCCCCTATTCCACCGTTTTACTGAACTTTGACCTAGCCTATTCCCAAATCTCTCCCCCATCCTGATCCTGCCCAACTTCTCATCAGAAAGACCTTTTATCCCTATTAGAGGACCCAATGACCCCAATCTAAATTTTTAGGAGACACTGGTCACTCCACCACCACTTCTACCCACCCAAGATGGGGTTGTGGGAGCAGGGAGTTGATGAATATAAGCATAATGCTGGAGTAGAGCAAGGTAGTGAGTGGGATGAGGGAGGCATCGGAGAGAGGAAGGCCAGGGCATCTGACCTGCCAACTTTCTGTCTCTACCTACTGATAAATAGGGGATTCCAATGGCCAAGATTTTCCACTCCCCCCACTGCAACATATTCGTCACTCAATTAAAAAAAGAGTGGGGGAGGGAAGGCACTGGTTATAAGGCCTGTGCCACAGAGGGGCCGGGGACGTTGAGCTCAGAGAGCCCCAGATCTCTCCTGTTATTCTCAGCCTGATTTAGCTGTTGACAGCTGCTGCCCACCAGCCCAGCTAGCTCCCTGTCAGCGGCCTGGCCAACCCCCAAGCCCCAGACTCTTCGGTGCGGTGACTTCTACAGCCCACCCCCAAATGGCTGAGAAAGAACAGGCTGCTGTTGCTCCTCAAAATGGAGAGGGGGACTCTGAGAACCTGGATGACCCTGAGAAATTGAAGGAGCTGATCGAGTTACCGCCCTTTGAGATTGTCACAGGGTAAGAGACAGGTTGTTGGCTACTCTTCTCTGGGTGAGGTAGGAGGAAGATTTTCCGGATGAGTGTGAGGCCTTGGGAAAGGTGGTGGAGGCTGACCAGAGTTGAGAAGGGGAGAATTAGGGAGGAATTGGCTAGACTGTGCCCTGAAATTAGGGTTGGAATGTAGACATTAAATCCAGACTAAGGCATAAGTGTTTTTAATATGTCCATTTTGGGATGTTAGGACATCAGCCTTGAGAGATAAGGGGCTTCTTTGTGTCCTTGCTACTAATAATAACACATTTATATAGTCTTCAAGGTTTACTAAGAATTTATTTCACAAGTGTCTGAGGTAGCAATCTCAAATCAGGTAAGACTCCTCCAGAGAGTTATTTGCTGGGGTCAGGTTTGGTTGGTATTTTTGTCTGTTTTATTTTTAATCCTTTTAAAGGATTCAAGAGAGAAAGGAATAGCAGAGGCTTGGAAACTACTATCTCTAATCTTGGCAGGGAGGTGGGGCAGTGAATGAACAGAGAGAGAGAGAAAGAGAAACATTTCAACAGGGCCCCATTTAAAGTTGTCCCCTTCCCTGTTTGCTGAGCTCTAATCTCTGAAGAGAAGATTCCACAACAGGAATTGAATGAGAGCTAGTTTCTTCCTATAAATCTTTTGTGAATTTCCCCAAGGGAGAGAAGAAGTGATCCATGAGCCCCATGAGCAAGGAGCTAGTACATAGTCCAGGTCAGAGAAGCCAGGACAGTGAGATAAGGGCACACAGTATGAAGCATAGGGACATTCCGGTCAGGTGGGAGGTGGAGGTTATTGGATCCAATTCTGCCTAAGCAAAGTGGGCTTCCTGGACAAGAGGAAGTAGGTTCAGGTAAAAGGAACAGGGCAGAAGAGGGGCTGTGTTCTGCATCCATTTGGGCCCCGTTGACTTGTCCAGAACATGCCTACTCCATATAGAACTCCAAGAAATTCCCTTCATTTCCTCTCTTCCTTAGCCCTCTAACTATAGCTACTGCCAAATTGCTAGACAGAGAGAGCAAGACAGGGGTCTTTGAAGAGCTGAGCTCAGCTGTACCTGACCCCCAAATCCTTCCCCACACCTCAATATCTCTCACTGTCACTTGGAGAGAACAGCAGCGAGCTCTCTACTTGCCCCTTAAATCTTTCCCCCATTCCTCAATGTCTCCCTCTGAGATTGGGGAGAAGAGCAGTGCTCAAAGATGAGTGGGCACCACAGTCTCAGAGATGGTGGGCAAAACACAAGCACAGTAGCTTCCAGGGGCAGGAAAACCTTACTCGGGTAGGTGGGGGGGGGATTCATCCTGAATCCTGAGAGGAAGAACAGCCCCCAAGTTTGTGCTGCCCTGTGCCCACTCACATAATCTCACCCTTATCCTGGGATTAGGGGAGCAGCTGGGGCCAGACAGGTCCAGGGACAGAGAAAGCTCTGGTGCAGCCTGGCCAAGAGATCCCCACCCAGCCCCCCTTAGATCTTTAACTGAGCCTCCCCTCTACCACTGATACCCCTGAATGAAAGAAATAAAAAGAACAGCTAAGGGTCATTGGTGAGTGGGGTGGGGGAGGTGAAGGAACATTAAGAGGCTTTCCTACTATCCAAGCACCTTATTGTATACAACCCTAGGCCGTACACACATATGTCCCTGCCACTGCAATGGAAAGAAGTTTCCTAGCCTATGGATATGACCAAGCACTGACACCTCTTCTGTGATTTGCACACTCCAAAGATAAGCGATTCTTAGTGACAGACAAGTCCCTCAAGAGCGTGAAGTTCACATTTAACCTTTGTGTAACCCCAGTGTTCCCCATTGGAAAAAAAAAAAAAGCAAAAAGCATCTTGCCTTCCATTTCCACACCTCACATCCCCAGTCTAGGGGGAAAGGGAAGCTGTCATTGCAGACTTGCAATAATGAAAAGCTAGAAATCTGTAGCAGAGAGAATAGAAAGCTCTGAATTGAACAGTGAGAAACCCTACGTGTTTCCTTTCCACACTCCAGACAAACAAGCAACAGATGTAGGAATTTGTCCCCTGGGGCCCCTCTGGGTCAACCAGCTCTGAGATAGCCTGTAGGTGTCACTGTCCATCTGTCCTGGGAGGTATGAAGAGGAGGGGATGTTTGTACCCCTCCTCACTTGTCAACCTCTGTGTCACTGAGGTCAGCAAGCTCCCAAGTCAAAGGCGACTCTTCAGGTCAGACCCCTTGAGGGGCCTCTGGGATTTAGGACTTGATTTGGCAGATTAGCTCAGAGTACTTCATACCCTGTGACTTCTTGGTGGCAGAAGAAGGGAGGGAGGGAAAGAAAAGAAGGTAGGGATGGGAAAGAGGATAGGAAGGAAGATGCAGAAGAAAGAGAGAAAAAAAAACACCTTTTTTTGCCTGTAGAGTTCCTGTCTTCAACCCAGAGACTGACAGGATGCATACAAAAGACACAGACCAAGAACTTTTATAAAATAATGTGAAAAAAATTTCAAGGACCACCCCGCAGGGGTGGAATAGAATAATACGGAGAAGTGGCAGGGTAGAGGAAAGATTAAATGCATTTACAGATGAGTTGGTACCTCCAGAAGAGGGAGAATCTGTCTTTTGATGCTCACCCCATAAGCCCCCCACCACCTTCTCAGCCCCTGAGCCAGATGAGCCAGAAGGTAACAAGTATGAAGCCTTGGAGGCAGAAGGCTGGAAATATAGGCATGTTTTAGAGAACTGAAAAGTTCCCCTGGGGGTGTGGGGTGGGAGTGGTACTATAGACCTGAGTACCACAAAGCTTTGGGCTTCTGGAGAACCAGAGCTTGGTAGAGAATTTCTACCTGGTCCATTGAGTTTTGCTGTCGCCTCTGAACACAGTGGGGCAACTAGATGGTATGCTGGATAAAGCTCTGGGCCTGAAGTCAGAAAGACTCCTCTCCCTGAGTTCAAATGTGACCTCAGACACTTCCTAGCTGTGTGACCCTAAGCAAGTCACTTAACCCTGTTTGCCTCAGTTCCTCATCTGTATACGCTGGAGAAGGAAACGGCAATCCACTCCAGTATCTTTGCCAAGAAAACCCCAAATGGGGTCATAAAGAGTCAGATATGACTGAACACAGTACAACTGAGGGGAGTACCAGAGATAAAGTCCATGGTTGTGCGTTCCCCTTCTGTAGGTTACACGATTGGTAGGCATGCCTCTCCACAACTTTCACCCCAAAGTAATGTACATCATACATCTTTGGGGTGTGTGTGTGTGTAAGTGTATGTGTCTACCTGAAGAAAGCTGACATCAGCAAATGAAAGCAGCAACCCTAGCAATCTCCTTAGTCATGATGCATCAGCAAAAATGAGAGAAAGGTTACAGAGGAAGTGAAGTATCCTGGTCATAATCACAAATTCCAAATGCCCTTTGGGCTCCTGGAGCACATTAAAGGGATGGCCCAGAAGGAAGAAGAAATATCCAGCTGACTCCATCCAGCCTTGATTCTATGGCAAAGTCCTGGTCCTTTGGATCTAAAAGGAGGTGACACAGAAGTAGGTGAGTGGTGACAGCTGGAAAGCTTCCTGGGAAGGAGACATAGATATACAGCAGGCTTGGGCCTCCCATCTTCTTGATTAGGGACACCAGAGAGGTTCCCTTCTCAAGAAGGAGGACCTGTGCATGAGACAATGTTGCCACAAAGGGAAAAAGGGAGGGAATACACATTCATGTAGCACCTACTATGTGCCAGGCACTGTGCTAAGAACTTTTTTCAAATATTACTTCATTTGCTCTTCACAACAACCCTGTGAGGTGGGTGTTATTATTATTCCCATTTTACAGTTGAGGAAACTGAGGCAGACAGCGGTAAAGTGATTTGCCCAGAATCACACAGCTAGTAAGTGCCTGAGGCTGGATTGGAACTCAGGTCTTCCTAAGTCCAGGCCCACTGCCCTACCAGTTACCTCTAACAGGAGATGATCTTGACATCAAAGCACCAGGCTGTTTGACTGACTGAGTGATTACTAAGGTTCCTTCTAAATCGAAGTTCTACTCTGCTATACTGATTTCACAAGGCCATGGAGTATACTCACCCCACTTCAGAGAACCTTCCCGGGTTCCTTTTTGTTCTGGATAGAAGTAGTTAGGGAACAATCTACATTTTTCGTTACCCCAGGAGATGAGGAAGTGAGGGGTTCTTTTCCATGACAGAGGAAACTGGGCCCCTCAGTTACATGAATCCTGATTCTCACCCTAGACTGATTGTTTGGCCTCCTTCATGAAAGGATTATTGAGCAGGGGCAGAAGTAAGCAGAAACTTAGAGAAAAGGGGAGGACACAGGCATTTACCTTCACTGTAATATAAGGATATCTCACCTCCAGTGCTGGACACCAACATCTTCCCTCCAAAATCCCCAGAGAGGCAGTCAAGCAGGCAGTGGGGCAAGAGGCCACGGGAAAGCACAGATGGGTCAGGTCGCCTCCCTCCATAGCAAAGCTCACCTTCTCCAAGGAAAGGTCAAGGGATCATGGGATTTTAGAGTCTAAAAAAGACCTCAGAAACTTTAGAGATTATCTAGTCCAGGGGTGGGGAACCTGTGGACTCAAGGCCACATGTGGCCTTCTAGGTCCTTGGATGTGGCCTTTTGACTGAGTCCAAGTTTTACAGAACAAATCCTTTATTAAGGGGATTTGCTCTGTGAAGTTTGGATTCAGTCAAAGGGCCACACTGGAGGACCTAGAGGGCCGCACTGGAGGACCTAGAGGGACACACTGGAGGACCTAGAGGGCCGCATGTGGCCTCCAGGCCACGGGTTCCCTACCCCTAATCTAGTCCAACCTACTCTTTTTACAAATGAGGAAGTAGAGGCCCTTAGAAGGGAAGTGACCAGAGTACAGTCATACAGGTGACAAGTAATGGAGCTAGGAGTGAAACCCAAAGCTTCCAGCTTCCAAATCCAGTGTTCTGATGTTGTGAGGCTAAAATGAGGTATTTGTAAAGTTCTTAGCACAGTGCCTGGCACATAACAGGCACTTAAGAA